AAACACTTCTCAGTGGAACTTCTTCTCAAACTTTCCTTTTCCAGTTCAAACCATGCGCTTTGCCGTCAAACTGGACTACGTGGGCAAGCGCAAGTCCCGCCAAGCCAAGCGACATACCGTCGTCAGCATTCAAAGTCATCGCAGTTTCAAAAGCGAAACCTCACCCATTATGCCCACATTTGCCATTGTCAAGCTGTGCCTGCTCGCGCCCATCAGCGCCATTTATCAGGAGTTGAAAGTCTTCCGCAAGAGTTTCATCAGCCAAAATCGTTTGCTCTTCTGCGAACAGTCGTACAAGGAGCCCAAGCCGCTCGATCTACCGGAGATACAACGCGAATCTTATGCACGCTTTGACAAGTTTATATGCGAAACGATTGCCTATATTGTGAACCAGAATGTCAAAGCGTTGGAGGATCGCAAGCCGCACTTTTGTTGCGATATTAATAATCTGACAAATATACTGCTGAAACTGGTGGGCAGCGATTTTAATACGCGCACACCCACCAAAACAAATGTGGAGTTTAAGGTGTGTAAAGATCAACTCTAAGAGTATCATTTAAGAGTTTTTTCTTGCCCCCTAGAACCTCTGCACCGCGGCCTACAATGAGCTGGAGCATCGCATCTATCGAATAATGAACAAAGTCGAAGCGGAGGGCTTTGAGAATTTCGTTGTGCATCCTCAAATTAAAATGGATGAAATTATTGATCATTTGAATGCGATCAAGCTGCTGCATGCTGTCAAGGATGATCGCATGGCCAAGTTTGTGCTGGAGAAGGTAAAGTTATTCGTGAGATTTGGGTGATTCGGGAAAGTTAACACACAGAGAAGTGAGTGTCGGCAATTGATTCACGGTTTCAGACTCACCCAAAACCAATTGTGGCTGCTCTTGCACTCATTTATAATAATTTTCCATGATGCACACATCAAAACCTTGGAAAAATGAGTCCCAAAACATTCGTCAACAACTGTTCCCCCATTCCTTTGTCATTAATCTCCCCCCACGTCACTTTTGCCACCTTCTTTTTATTGATCAAACGTTTCCTAAAAAGCTTACAAATGATTCACGAACATTTTGCTTGCTAATTTGATTAGAGCTTCCCTTCCCTTCCCTTCCCTTTCCGGTTATCAGTTATGAATCGTAACAGAAACGGAAGTAAGCGTTCGATCATTGATAAAAGTGACTATAATTGAGTGTTTTTTAGGCCGAAATTCATTGACTAAAGCTGAAAAATTACTTAGTGTAAAGACCTGCCTTAACTCGCTTTCTTTTGCACTTTTTTTTTGCAGGCTACCAAGGAAAAATCCAACGATGAAAGATTGAATTTCTTTATGGTCATTGAGCACATGGAACGTTTGGAATATGCGGAGGCCAAAGCTTTTTTCAGCTCGCATAGCTTTCGGGTGCCCGAGAGTTATGAATATTTTGCGTGAGTTTTGTATGAATATCTGATCAAACCTGCCTGACATCACCTACCCTTCCGCAGCGACTGGATCAAGCTCTACATCAGCTACGTGGACACTCGCGAGGATCCTCAATCAGCAGCCAACAGCACCGAGTGCCTGATGCGCAGTCTCATACGTTTCTCGAAAGCAAATCCCTTACAGCAGGATGGCTGGATCTTGCTCTACTGCTACTATAAAAAATTCAACTACGAGCCAGGCTGTTCCTATGCCCGCTGGCATTTCGAGGAGCAGCTCAAGCAGGGCCGCTCGGGCTCATCCACCGCACCCTACAGCTTATGGGGCATCTTCTTGAGCATTTATCCAGAGTTCAACACAACACGCGGCACAATATTCTTTGAGGTTTTTCGCATATTCGTGCGTTTGGGGCTGTATGAATTTGCTCAAGTTGTCTTCGCGGTGGTGGAGAATCAATGCTCTGAGGCGAATCGTTATATGATCAACACACAGCTGAAAACATTGCTCAAACAATTGGATGAGAAGTTTGTTGTGCGCTCATTTAGCCACGGATATGATGAGAAAATGGTGGGTACAGCGACTCCCCATCCTTTACTCTCTCTGCTAATATTTTCCCTACTCTTCCGCAGGCCGCTTTGAACGCCCAAGTCAATGGCAATGTGGAGTATTATCGTGGGAATTTTGAGCAGGCTGCCAGCTTCTATGCCCTCACCCTGCAGCTTCCTGTTATGGATGAGAATGAGCGAGATTATTTTGTGGTTAGCAAACTTCGTTTGGGTTACATTGCCTACGAAACGGGCGACTACCAAAAGGTCATTGATTCGCTCAACTTTCCATACATTGGCAAGCTGCTGCCCATGGTCTCCAGCTACCTGATGGGCAAAGCCTACTACAAGCTGAACCAACTCGAGTTGGCTTTGGCGTGTTTTGTCAGCTGCACCAAGCTGCAGAATCATGTGCCCAGCATTTGGGGTTTCCTGGCGCTCATCAACCTTCGTTTGGGTGAGAACTATAAGGCTTTGGAGTGCTGGAAATATGCCAAGATTGTGGGTACATGCAGCGCTTGTCCAAGCTGAAATTTAAGCTGTGTTTTCTCCCCCCAGGATCCGCTTGTCGCCATCGATGATGAGATGATCTTTGAGGAGCTGTCAGCCATTGACTGCGACTCCATTGACTTGTACATCGATGTGCCCTGCCAATGCAGCGAGGAATCCCTTGGGGACAAAGAACGCTGAGTCCATGAGTCGCCTTTTTGTGTATTTTATATTCATATATCTGTGAAAAAGTTTCCTCTCTGCTGGCTTGGCACCAATTCTGATTAAAGTGGGTGGAAGGTCGGTCCTCATTTGTAGTTGTTTAGCCATCGCCGTGCAGCTTGTTGACACAAGGTAATGAGAGAGACAGGATAGCCGCAATTTGCTTACACAAGACACACAGATACACACCCACACAGAAGGATGGACAGTTGCATTTTTTCTATGCTTTTTATAGCCTACTTTGGTGGCTGGCTGCCTTCAGTCTGCAGCCAAGCATGTCGCATGGCGGAGGTGTTGGCGGGGTCTTTGCCGCCGCTGCGCTTAAGGACTTGGGTGAGAAGCCAGCGGCTAGCGTGGCCAGCAGCACAGCGTTGGCTATCCGAAACTCCACGATTATAGCACATCGCTTGAGCATTTATTTGCCGCAGCTATTGCTGCCATCGAGGGATCCACAGAAGGTGCGTAGGGAGACCTCTTCGATACCCATAATAATTCTCTGTTATTTCTTCTTCAGCTCATCACCGAAATCAACTGCAGCGTGGCACAGTTCCGAGAGCTTTTGATCTTCATTGGGCAGTCGCGTGACTCGCCGGAGTTGCGCGAGAAGATACGAAAGTTGAGACGCAGCTGCCTGGATGCTTGCAAGCACACGGCACACCTGATTACCCCACAGCCACGTCACTGTCTGGGCAGTCCCAGTGAGCGCATGCACCTCACATTGCTCTACAATCTCTCTCAGTTGTTCCATCACGAGCTGGTCAAGAGTCATCGTTTGATACAGTTGGTGCCGCTCGATATGACCGAATATTATGGCAAGTTTTTGCTGCCAAGTTTTCTGTGTTTTAAATTTTGCTTCCCCCTGCAGCTCCTTCCCGCACCGCACCCTCAAATCTGGGCAATGTCATTAGTCAAATTTTGTTGTGCAAGCAAATCAATCCGGACTTTCAGCAGGAGGAACTATGCAGCATTGCCAAGGACTTACAGGAGCTGAGCGAGCTGCTGGATGAGCTGCAGGCGCACATGCCATTGCAGGACCCAACGCCTGAGGTGGAGTACGTGCAGACCAAGAAATGTGAGTGCTGTCAAGAGGTTTACTCAGCTCCCCCCTTGTTGATAAACTTCTCTTGCAGCTGGCACTAGCTTGGTGTCCCTCAATACACCCATTTGGTATGTGCGCCAGCGTCGCCGCAGCTGCAAGAGTCGCAGTCGCAGTCTCTGCTGTTGCCTCAACTCATCACATGGCAAAAGTTATTAAGCGGAAATGATAGCTTATAGTGCAACAAACAGTCCCCAGTTACTTCCACAGATAAGATTCTAGCATTTAGAAGGCCAAAGTTCTTGGAATAGTCCCTCCAGCGAGTAGCGAGTAATCTAGACACAACAAGTGTAATTGCTGCAGCAACTACGATTGCTACGAGGCAGTGGTAGTGATAAAAACTGCCTTTCCAGAAACGTTAATAAAGCCAAAGTGGGACACCAACAGCGTTGCCCCCAAGGCACAATAACAAACGATTAATGATCAAAACCAGAAATGCTTACAAAACGAGATCGGAGTGGAGTGGAGTGGAGTGGAGACACATAATGATGAAATCTGAAAGCTGCTGCAACAAAGGGCGATAAATTTTGCTCGTGAAATCAGGCTAAATCCCCCAAAAACCCTTTTGTAATGTTCGTCATATATTTTTCGCGTTAACCCGCAGTGTCAGATTGTTTGCTGTGGAACTTAGCGGCACGCCCAGCTGCTGGTTTGATTAGATTTGTGGCTTACAAGTCACTCGGGAGATGATGACTTGGCGCCACAAATGGCAACTAATTCTCGGCAAGATGATAATGGATAGAGGGAGGCGGCCTGGCAACAGTTGGAGAATAAACCAAACAGAAGGAGTTTTGTTTTTTCGATTTTTTCGCATAGCTTAAGTATGTTTTCATTTTAATTTTAAAAAATATGCCTTTGTCTTTTTACACACAAACATATCTCTACATTAAAAATATATCTAAATATATATTCATATGTGTATATATTGTATGCTGTTTGACATATATATAAGGTATATAATGTATATATAGTTGGTAGTTATTGTATATATATTTAGTTACTTTAGGTGTAAACTTCTTCTAGATGTGTGTCATATGGATTTTCACAGAAAATCTTCAACTTTTGTTTTGAGTAATGCTTCTTTTTCTGTTAGTTGTTTCCCATGTGCGTTGTTTTGTTCTACTTTTTTTCTATGTTGTTTTGCTGTACGCTTTCGCTTTTCCCCTTGGGCGAGAGAGAGAGAGTGGGTGTGAGGGAGCGAGAGAGTTACTTGAGTTTGAGCATTAAATGGAAGCTAAGATTCTTTTATTTTCTTTTGTTTCGTTACGGAATGCACCATCAATATTTGGGGTTTCTTTTGATTTCCTTTGATTTGTGCCTCGTACCACAAAAGCAACAACAAAACAATCTCTCGATTGGCTCTATTCTCGCTGCTGCTCTCGCTACTCTTCTTGCTTCTGTGTGTTTTCTGTATACAATGTATTATTATCCCAACGCTATCAACACTAGTTACAGATTTAGTTAGCTGTAGCTATACATAGACATTAGTTTGTTGCTACTTCTTATTAAATTCACTATTTGTTCACGTTTCTTTCTGGCCCTAATATCACCGTTATCACTGCCTTTTGCCGAAAGAACTTGGCTTAAAAAGTCTAAGCAGAAAGAAGAAGTCTTTTCCTGGTGCTGGTCATGTGTGCGCAAAAGAAACGTTTAACAAAAGAACTTAGCTAATCACACAACGAAGAAACCGAACAAAGTACAACAAAGAAGTAATAATCATAGAAATGAAAATGAACAGAGAATTCTCAAACGCGACAGCAACAATAAAAAAAACCTAACAACTAAAAAGCTTAGCAATTAAGCCCTAAATTACGGGTGAGAGACGGTGTGTGGTGGTGGTGTGTGGAGGTGGAACCACGGCGCCCAACAATGGTGCCGGTGCCGCGGGGCTGCCTTCAGCTAACTGCTATCTGGATGAATGAGTGTGTGCGGGTGTGTCTTAGTTGGTTTAGGCGGTGCTGCTGCAGTCTGGCTGTTATTGGAGGAACTCTGTTGGCTCTAGGTGCGAGCACTTTTGCTCGCCGATGAGGTGGACAGCTGTTCCAGACGGGAGCACAGCTCCTGGGCCAAACGCAACTGATTCGCCGCAGCGGCAGCACACGATGTGCCAGCGCCAGCACCAACAACGGGCATTTGGACGCCAGATCCGGCCTCCGGATAGCTAATGCACACGCCCACCCAGCGGGCTTGACTGCAGGCATGGGACTGCAAAAGAGAAAGAGAGAGTCTGTTAGTTGATTGCTTATTTTTTAGTGGAATTCATTTACTACTCACCATGGCAAAATCACGTTTCCACTGTACACCGCACTGGCCGTCACACAGGGGGCAGGGACGCTCCAGGCTGTAGCCACCGCACTCGCTGCAATCCAACGAGACGTGGTCATCTGTCCAGGAAACGCCGCAGGTGAAGCAGGAGCCCATATGCTGTCGCAACTCCTCAATGGTCATCACATTGTCCATGCTAATCTCCAGGGGACTTCCCACTAGATCTGGCAACGATGCGGACAAACCAAGATTGTGATGCCTAAAACAACGAGAGAAGAGAGAGGGAGGGAAATTCGTGATTAGCTCAGAGTCATGACAAATCGTCAGGCAGCCGTGACCTTGCTTGGTGGGTGGCGGTGGAGGTGGCAGGCGCTAGCAGGCGTGATTATGATAATGAGTAGCGTGGTGTGGGACGCAGAGAGAGAGAGAGATTGTGGATGATTGAACCAAATAGCAACTGTACACAGACGACAGCGACGCCGGCGAGACTTTCGCTCGATCATGTGAGCGGCATGACGGCGGCAAGTTGCTTTTGTTTTTTTTCGGTAGCGACAAAAGATAATGGCTACCAATACAAAGGTGTGACTACTACGATTGCGACTAATGCTGCTGCTGCTGCTGCCCCTCTTTCATTAATGGGCCAAAGTCGTGGCCATAAATATATACTGCAGGTGTTGCTATTTCCATTGTTGTATTTGTACTCTGCACCCTAACCGGCGGGCGACTGTGTGTGCATGATAAGATTGCAAAAAAAATCATGAATGAGTAGTAGCCCCAACCTTACATTTGGCTGGCCTCTGGCCAGGGCCCTGACATTGTTTACACATAAAATTGGCTAAAATACGCATAAAATAAATACGATGAAAACGGAAACGCTATTCCAGCAATACAAAATGAATCAGTGTGTATGGAGATGATCGTGTCTTGTGTCTATATTTATATACTTACGATAGGGGACTGCAAATGTCGGCGATCTGGGGACCATGTACGCTGGCAATCGACATATTGGATGCTGCTGTTGGCACTGCAATGGAAAGAAGTAGAAGAAAACAAATCAATACAAAAGTTCAACAATTGTAACAAGGTGAGATCGTGTGGGGGTCATTCTGCAGGTAAATACACCCCGAACAGACACAGCCACAACCCGAAGGTAAACGAGCTTGTCGTGCAGGTGCGTGTGCGTGTGTGCCCGTGTGTGCGCGTGTGAAATACTTGAAATGTCAGAGGCAAGACTTGCAATGACAGTTTTCAATTCAAGCACAACTGTACCAACACAACTGTACCTTCTTGTCTTCTTGTATACATTCAAATATTGATCAAATACAAATCGAACGACATTCTTGGCTTAAAAATTAACAACTATTGAGCCATAGGAGTGGGGTTTGGGCATTGGTGTGGGTTATGCATGGAGCAGGGGGCTAAAAACCGCTAAAATCCGGTTAAAAGCACCATAAACAGAAAACGGAGGCCGCAGATCTGTGTTGTTGAGTGCGTCATCCGATGTATAGTTTCAATTGCTTTGGATATGGGGGCGCCGCACAATTAAACAACTTTAATGTGCGAATTATTTGGAATTGCACGAAATATTGTGTTGTGTTGGTGTGCGGCAAGGGCTGGGTGTAGTAAAAACTTGTCTACGATTTTGGCAAAGTTGCAAAAAAAACATACAATATATGCAGAGAGAGAGATCCTCCACCTCCGCCTGCTCAGGCACTGACTGCCGCCTGCGTCTGGCCTGGCAGCATCATAAATTTATTTTGCGTTGTTAAGCGGCGACCATCCGTGTTCTATATATAACTTTGGATCGTATGTGAAAGTATAATCAAGAGGCGAATGGTGGGCTAAAATTAAAACGCCCCAAAAGCCAACATGCAACATGTGCAACAGAGGAGAAGACAGAGGGCGGAAGAAGCAGAGGCCGAGGCAAGGCAAGGCAAATCGAGGCCTGGTGCAACTGGTTCATGCACTCGCTAACTGCAATTTCGCCTGGGTTTGCGTGCCAGCTAATGCTGCGGCGACAAAACGTCGCAAAAAAAAAAACGAAAATTGCTGTAATTTATCCGAACGAATGCGGCAGCCATGCCATGCTATGTATCTCTGGCGGCTCTGACACTCGGCCCCTTGCCTCTTTGCCACGGCACAACTAGTTGCATTTAATTTGATTTTATTTATTTATAGAAGGGCACTCACACAGGCGCATAAAAAAACAGGCAGACGGACAGACACGACACATAGATATACATAGATATACAGCTACAAACGAGAGATGAATGTACGAAAGCGGGAGAGGGTCGGGGGTCTGGGGTCTGCTGTTCGTTGTTGTTGATTTATTTTGGGCACGGAAATACTTACATTTGTTGTATTTTTACAAAAATTGTTGAACGCTTGTTCTGTTTTTTATTTATTCTGCGCTATTAATAAATCCAAATTGGGATTTTAGTCGCAGTTGTTGTTTTGTTTTGTCTTGTTGTTTGTTTTTTGTTGTAGTTTTGTATTGTTGTCTTGGCCTTGCGTAAGCCACAACAAATCAAATTATCTTTTATAATTGCTTGTAAACGAGCAGTAACCGTTTTAGGTATTGTTTTGTGTTTTTTAAAGTAACTTTTCACACGCGATGTTGACAGTTAACTTGTGGAAATGCAATGCAATTATTATTCGGTATTCAGTTGTTCATCGAGTTGATATCCAAACAATAACGAAAGTTTTTTATACAGCGCACTTTTATAGTTGGGCTTCCGCTGAGACAAACGGAATTGATTTTTTCTGGAAAGCCAAAGACCAAGTGGCATGCACGACCGAAGCGGTGGAATCGAATGAACGCGCTGGCCTGACTTCGCCTCGCTTTTATAGCCCAACACTCACTTTGCTGAGAGAGCGCACAGCGGGCGTGAGAGAGAGAGAGCGAGCGCACCGCGCGCAAAGTGATATTGCGGATGACAAAGCAAAGCTAACGAACTGAACTTGCCAAGCTTCTCACATACAACGAAACCAAACACAGACACACACGCATGCACACACTCATCAAATTCGTAATAAACGGTATGTCAGCAGGGGGGGGGGGGTGTTAAATCACAGCAAAATTCCAAAAACAAAAGTCAGATGCTGACCAAATTAGCGGTAGTTGGCAACAGAGGAGAGCGGCAAGCAAGCAAGCAAGTGTGTGTGTGTGAGAGGAGATAACAAAGCAAAACAGAGAGAGATAGAGAGCGAGCGAAGTCAAACGGCAAGGGGGAATACACTTACAGCCTTACATATCTGCTGCATTTTTACACCCTATATGCCACCTTCCACTGCATTATCAGAGATACTCTTACATGGAAGTACCAACGTACCGGACGGACACTAGTACATTGACTAAATGTAATCGCCGCCGGGGTTCTTGACGTAGAAAAGACAGCGGAACAGCAACAGCTTGGCAACCGTCAGAGCGAGCGAAGCACCCTCGTCGACCCGTCAACGGACGCATTTCATTTGAATAACAAATCATTTATTCTTTGACAGGTAGAGCGCCGGACAAGGGCAGGGACCACGTACCATCGTACAGTGGACAGGAATGAGCAGGTGGTAAATAAACTAAATAGAGATGTATAGAGCGAGCGGGCACGGGTGCGGTGCAAAAACCGTTCGGTACAGGTAAACCCACCCATCTTGTTTCTTTGGAAATCGCGAGCAAGAGAGAGCGAGAGAGAGCATGTCGCTCATAAACATGTTTTACGCTTATCAATTTACCCTAATCTTATCATTTGGGACCTACGGGGGGAGTGGTTCAAGCGCGTGGCAGACTTCCCCAGCGTTTTTTCCACTTTAGGCTTGCAAAGTGTAACGGTTAAACTTCTCATTATATACGATCCAAGGCAATTCCACCGACAGAATGGAAATTTTTTCGCTAACGTTGGCATGCTAATAGGAGACAAGAAAAAAATTCGCATTTTGCCAAGTGCCGCAACAGAGTAAGAGAGTCGCGCGTCGCCTCGCATGGTGGAAGCTCAAATTTCGCCAGACAAACGAAAAGGGAGCACAGCACCCAAAGCCGAAAGCTCCAAGCCCTGAACCCCCGGCCGCACCGAACACAAACCGAACCCAAAAAGCAAAGCGAGATCCCCAAGGCGACCCTCGTACAAATTAATGCAATTTCAGCGTCGGCAATTTGTGACGATGTGAAACCCAACCGACGGTCAACCATAAAAACTACATGCCGACTATACTATGTAGCACACACACATGCATATGCATGTGTACGTGTAGCATATATTATAAACAATTAATGTTTATTTAGAAAGCAAGAACGGCAACCATCCCCTTGACCGTCACATGCCCCCTCCGACGGTAGCGTCTCGATCGGCTCGTTCCATGAGGAAGCCCTCGGAACCGGGGCACACTTTTGCGACTGGCATTCAACTCTGCAGTCCACGGCGCAATTTCATGCAGGGGGAAGAGACGAGGATGGAGCTGAAATCGAGGGACCATTGTCATTTGAGAAGGTCGCACGGCAATTGTGCTTTGGGACATACTCTCACCTCATCTCATCTGGTCTCATCTCGGACGTAATTGCGTCAGAAAACGTGGAGGATATTAGTCCGAAAATAACAATATTTAAACAGTATTTTGCCAACCTTTTGAAAACTTATTAAGAGCCACACGATTGCAGCTCGTGCTTGTGTGTATTTTTATACTCTTCCTGAAGACACCTCAAAAGCGAGGCAGAGAGGGAGACAGTTTCCGCCCCATTGTCAAGTCTTCCTGCTAAAAATATATCCCCCAGACCATACTCCAGTCTATTTATTACAATACATTTCGAAACCGGATGATCTACTTATATGACAAAAAAGATTGCTATATTTTAGGTATCTTATCGCTTGATTTACAAGTCTGCCGTGGCGCTATATCAATCTTTCTAATAGATTGGATATCATAAATATCTTTTTATTGCGCGCAATTCCTAAATTATTTATTATATTGAAAACTTTCAAACAGATATTCCGGCATAGCAAAATGTTTATTTATAATGCGGTCAAATGGTGTTGTAGGATTTTCTATATTTTTATATTCTTTATATAAAAAAAAACCCAGAATAGCGATGCAAATATGTATAAATATATTTTCCAGTTTAATTCCAAGCTGATAATGTGGGGCTACTGAGGGGTTTCCCTGTCGGACTGTATACTTCGAATATTTGGGGATTTTTTATTGATCCTGAAATTTGTAGGTGACTTTTTTTTTGGTATAGTTATCTATTTTATGGAATTTTAAGGCCTTCAGTTTTTTATAGAATAATGTTCATAGAGTTGCAGCTCTGTAGTTATCTCTTCAGAAAGTGGATAGAAAGTAGGTTAGTTCCATGTAAAATGCCACAAAAAACAAAAGAAATGTGCCATACTCTCTTTCCAATCGCTACTCTTCCTACTTGTAAAAACAACTTTAACTAAGCAAATGATTTGCCACTTGATCAATCAACACTCTACCAGCAACAATACGTAATGCATTTATCAGTCAGTCTTTGCAACTGCCATTAAGCCCACACAAATTAGGGTATTCAAGTTGCCGTTGTGCAAATATAGTTTGTTTTTTGCTGCTGTTTGCCAATATATAACTGAGATGGAATTGTGCATAAATACAGTACAATATGACCAATAACAATGTACCATTATTGCGTTTTCAAGTGCTACTTAAAGACATGCGCTTCCTCTTTGGCACTGCCATTGAGAGCCAATGGTGGCTCTAATGGTGGCTCCAATGTTGGCTCTCAGACCGGCAGTGGCTCTGTTTTTTTGTGCCGCAGCTACGCAAATAAAGCTGCTCCTGAACGTGCGACTGACTGTGCGGGGAGTTTGTATCTGTTAATTGTTGTGATGGCTGGTGTGTAAATAACAACATCGCTGGATGGATTGTCCATATACTCGTACCAATCAAATGCAAAAAACAAAAGGCGACCCCCAGGTGCTGACGTCAATTGCTGTGCGAGAGCAAATCAGGAACCAGCAGCTCAGCTTTTTGTTTTGAATTTGAGACACATTAAGGCCAACTCGACCAACTCGACCAACTCGACCAACTCTGATGATCATAAGACTGTTTTGTGGGCGTGTGATTCATTTGAGGAGATTTATGGGTGGAATCTACAGCCCCATATAATGTGTAGCGCCGCACGCTGATCTGCTGCTCATCATCATTATCATTATCATATCATATCATGATCCAGCAGCCAGCAGCCTCACATGGCAATGCTAATGAGTTGTGGCTCAAATAGCGACACAAAAACTCGTTTCGCGGGATTCCCTCGCACCCAAAAAAACAAACTGATTTTCGGAATTTCAACCTGCCTGGGCTCTGTACTATGGAAAGCGTTTACTTAATTAATGGGGGAAAAGTACTCAGTACTCAGTACGTAAGTATTTGTGGGTAAACTGTCAAAATGGGGCGTGGCTCGTCTCGTCTCGTCTGTCGGCAGATTATTCCATTCCATTCGAACGAAAGTGAGTTCAAAGCTTTGCGGCATTTTGTTCTATAATCGCAGATAAGTGCACTAAGTGCTCTCTGTGGGAAGTCTGAGAGATTTACGTGTTCTCAGGCCCAAACTGTTGACAAGGGCAATTAGAAGCGCGAGAAGCCGTACGACTGACCCTCAACTTTGGCCTCTCCCGCCACATTTCCCATGCAAATGTTTTTTGTAAGAGTTCCGGCCAGAGGAATTTACATACTGACGACTGATAAAATGATAGGCTGCTGCCTCTATAAATAGGTCTATGACTTGTTATCTCAGCCCTTGGACATTGTAGTAGATCAATGGAGTTACGTATGACTGATATGGGCCTGAGGCCCTGCCCCTGACTGAAAGGGAGGTTACAGCAGGTGGTGGCTTATATTTACTCTTATTGCATGACCCCCACCCGCTGGGCAATGTCATTTACTTGGGAGGGGAAACTGAATTGCATTCGTCACAGCAGCAATCTGTGTAACACGATCGTCAGCTATGATGAGTCGATCAGACTGAGATTCCATATTTACTTCCCATATTTTAAGGTACATATTAACATTTAATTGGAAGCGCATTAATATTAATAAAAACTTGTTCTATTCTATTCGGGAAGTTCGTTTCCACGAGTTTTAGTAGATCTCGTTCTATTGTGTATCACGATGACAGACACGAGTCATGACAGATGTTTTGGGATGATAAAAGTCCCACCGCAAAACCAGATTAACATTTGCGAGCTGCCTTGCCAATGGATTAAAGTACAAGCACTAGATAATAAAAATAATAATATGAGCATATAATCCATATCTTAGAAGCCTTGGTTAAAGCAATTCCTAGTTGCGAATAACTGTCATAAAAAGTGAGCCAACACAATGGAAAACTTCCTCATACGCACAGTAAAGATTCCATATAGAATTTGAGATTATCAAAGCAACACAAAACAATCAATCAATGGGCTAATAAAAACATAAAGTGCTCACACTTCTAACACGAGGAATCCCACGAAATGTGTTACGAATAAAACTTTAAAATGCCATTTAATAACGCTTTCTCTTGAGCTAACATTTTGTGGATCCAACTGTTCAAAGACTGACTTAAGTTTTTGGCAAACAGAGATGTGAGCAAAACTCACGTAGTTTTTGTCCACTTTGAACCAATACCAACAAACATGAACTTCCCGTACAATTAAAGTCGTATTTCCCATCTAAAATCTAACAGGGAATCGTAATAGCAATACACTTATTTGAATGTCAGACAAAATTAGTGGGAAAAAGAGAATTAAAGTGCCTGTACTTATGGGAAACTTTTTTGTGGGAAGTCAGAACCTAGAATTACCAGACTGATC